CTGGGGCAAGCTTTTGTACTTCTTCTATGAAGATGTTATTTCCCTTTTGAGTCCTTTCTTCCATAACTCTAATTTCTTTTCCAATTTATTCCTCTAGCACTCTCATTTCAGTGCTTAGCACAGAGCTTGGCACATATTAGGCACTTAATAAATGTTTATTGATTGATTGATAAAACAATTAGGCTCTTAAAAAACAAAGAACAAAAAATCTCTTCATCTTTTCCAGGAATTCAAGTTGAATCTGTGCCCAAATTCCACACACAAAAAGCTGTGTTTTTCTTTGAGGCTTTGCTTGTAGATGTTTTGAAGTTATTCCCTTCTTTTGGATTTGTATCTTGAATATCCCTGTCACCATAATAACTTCTTATGGTGGCATACTCTTTTTGTTTGCTCTTTCTTCCGGGCTCTTTCCTAACTTCAGACTTGATTTTAGGGCTGGACTCTGCATACTTCTGGAGGGAGGATCTAGACTGGTCTGTTTGCTGTTTTCTTGGCATGTGGAGCATTGTGTTATTCCATGATGTCAAGGACAGCTCAGGCTGGTGACCTGTAAGGTTTTAGTGCCCCCAGTGTGGTCTGGTCCAGGGCAAAGTCTGACTGTTCCCCCCCTCCCCTGTCTGAGCTTGCTCACCACCCTCTTTTTCTTTGCAATGAGGGGGTAGTAATTATGGAGAGGAAAACCAAAGAAAGTAGAATGGAGGGAAATACATAGTTAATGATCCTAACTATGGATGGGATGAACCTACCCATAAAATGGAAGAGGATGGTTGAATGGATTAGAAAGTAGAGTCAAAAAATATGTTGTTTACAGGAAACATAGTTGAAACAGAAAAACTCATGTAGAATTAAAATAAGAGGCTGGAGCAAAATTCACTTCAATGGAAGTGAAAAGGGCAAGAATGGCAATTATGATCTCAGATAGGGTAAAGAAAAAAACTGACTTGATTAAAACAGACAAATAAGGAGACCACATCAAGCTGAAAGGCACCAATAAAGGTACAGTAAAGGTCATATCAATACTTAACATATATGCACTAAATAGCTTCGCATCTAAAAGTTGAGAAATTTTAAAGGGATAACTTTCCTTATACATATAAAGGTACATTCTTTCACGGTCATGTTGGGTCCTGATTATAGCTTGTTCTGCTGTTGTTTATGTACCTCTGGTCACTGTGGATTTATGATATTACACCTGGTTATCTGGATTTTCTAGTGACCTAGGTACAGGGAAATGTATATCATTTCACATCTATTTATACTATCCGTATAGAAGCAAAAGCTAGGTTTGGCCGGCCCAGTGGACTTCTGTGGCCTTCGTTTACTCTGAGGAGCAGGGTCACTTTGACCTTGGATCTCATCACAGATTTATCTTCATCCAAAAAGTACATGATACTTCTGGTAGTTACAGATAACTTTACCAAGGCTATACATTTCCTCCTTTGTCATAGTGCCTTTCATCTAGAATTCTTGTTTTTTCAAGGAACTTTCTGCATCTGTTGGCTTCTTGGTTAGGAGACCAAGGCCTTTAGTTCATGCCTTAGTTTAGGCAACTTTCTTCAAGGCCTTTTGAGTAAATATGAACTTCTCATCCTGATTCTACTTGGAAACACGGAGAGACAAATGTAATAGACTGAAATGCTGACCCATATTTCTGTGGGTATTGTACCTCCCGTAGACAGGTACCTCCTTGGATATAGCAGAACTTGTTTATAGCAGGGATGTCTCTGCTTCTACTTTGTAAATACCCTTATATGTGAATTATAGATCTGATTCAGTTTCACAAACATTTAATGAGTACTTGTTATGTGAGAGGCATGATTAATTTACCTACCCTTGCTATTTTTCAAGTATTTATTAGCCATAAACTATGATCTTGCAGAGACATCCAAACCTATCTGCAAACACTGTAATCTACCGGATGAAATAGGCTCGCCTGCCATCCTCAGGCATGGAGGATAGTCAGATCTTTGTAGGTGGGCGGCCTGTTACAATTACTCACCTAACTTTGTTTTTAAGTGCAGTGAACTATAAAAAATTAACAAATTATTTTTGAAATGTTTAATATTGCCTACATTACTAACTCAGTAGTATTTCAGAAATGCTTCTGTGAAAGGTATATCACACATTTCTCCTCTTCCGTCTATATTGTGCAGAATTAGACAAAGAGGTAAAATAATACTTATTTTAGCCCATCTTTTTGCTACCAATTATGATGAACCTCAAAGAATTAATTGAAAATTAAAAAAATCCAGGACTCCCATATATATTGCTTGCAATTCCAGGATTTGATTGGCAAAAAAAATGACCTAAGGACAATACGTAGAAACCCATCATTATGTCCATGTACTTCAACTGGGCAAAGATTGTGATTGAGGTGACCTACCCAATCCTTGGAAGCCTAGAACAAACTAAAAGGAAGAAGCTGGGTCCTCAGTTACTGGGGTTTTTTAAATCTCCTTTTGGACCCTCCTGTTAGAAGATACTGATTAATAGACTCTGGTCAGAAAACAGTCGGTACCCTTTGAATCCAAGAGCACTGTGCAGGCAGGGCTGGCTGGGGAGGCAGTTTTCAGAGCAGCTAATACATTGACTGCCACAGTCCTAGGCTCCAAAGAGCATCACTGCATTAGTTGGCACTGGACCTTTTCAGTGACCCTCTAGGCTTTCTGTTCACTTTCTCAGACCTTTGGACGAAGGGCTATATCTCTCTATCCTTGCCTTGCCACTGTATTTCATGATGATGATGATGATGATGATAATATTGACCCAAGCTGCCCAACTAGGCTTTTGCCTTGTGTATGATGCCCTGTAACCCAGCCTGGTGATCTTGAGACACGTGCTGCTTTGTGCAATACCGGATTTAGCGTTGACTCAAACATGGTAAAGAAATGACTTTGTAAATGGTTCACCTGTGGTACCCCCAAGCATAACTTTCCATTCAGCTCCCGTGATAAGCTATCAAGTCAAGACAAATCTAGTCAACAAGCATTTATGAAGATTTGATTATGTGCCAGGCCCAGTGCTAAGGGCTGGGAGTACGTATTCAAGCAGAAAGAGCGAGCCCATGTTTTCAATTAGCTTACATTTTAACGGAGGAAGGCAACACTTAAATCCCTTTGGGATGCAGGCCTAGTAGTGGTGTTGCTGGGTCAAGGATATACACGGTTTTGTAGGCCCCACTGGAGTTTGTCAACTGGCAAGTCCTTGTGCCAGTAGCTGGGGTCTTTGTATTTATCAAATAGATCGGTTTGCTTCTTTATGTTGTGTAACTAGTCTGTTCCACTGAGCACTATCTCTTTTTTTAAACCAACAACACATTGTTTTGAGAATTACTGTTTTACAGTATACTTTGAGATTGGACACTGTTAGGCCCCCTTTATTTTCCACTTGTTTTTATAATTTTCCGTGAGATTTTTGACTTTTTTTAACTTCATATAAATTTAATGTTTTTTCTAGTTTTGTAAGGTAATTGCTTTGTAGTTTGGCACAGCACCGAATAAGTAAATTAATGTAGGTAGTGTTATCATTTTTATTATGTTTACTCATTCTATCCATGAGTGATTCATATTTTTCCAATTAATTAGACCTGTCTTTAATTCTGTAAACAGTAGTTTGTATTTTTATTTCTACTATTCCTGTGTATGTCTTGGTAGATAGACTCCCAAGTATTTTATACAATTTGTAGTAACTTTAAATGGATTTTTTCTTTCTATCTCTTCCTGCTGGGTGTATTATTGGTATAATATAGAAATGGTGATGATTGGTGTGGGCTTATTTTATATCATTATAGTTTGCTGAAGTTATCATTTTGATTCATTTTTAGGGTTCTTTAAGTATATCATCCTATCATCTGCAAAAATTGATCAGTTCATTTCTTCTTTACTTATGTTTATTCTCTTAATTTCTTTTTTTTCTTCTTCTTATAGCCCTCATTTCTAGTACTATGTCAAACAGAAGTTAATAAGGCAATAGATATCTTTGTTTTTATTGAAAGGATTCTAGTTTATCCCCATTACAGATAATGGGAATAAATAATTAGGTTTTAGATCCATACTATTTATCACTTTAAGGAAAGGTCCATTTGTTTTGAGATTTTTGTTTTTTTTTTTTTTAACAGAAATTGATATTATATTTTGTCAAGTACAATATGTAATGGTATGACATAATCATATGCTTTTTATTGATTTATTAACCAACCCTGGATTCCTAGTAAAATTCCAAAGTGGTCTTAATGATATGTTGTTTTAGCCTCTTTGATAATATTTATTTAAAATTTCGCATTCTTGTTCAGTAGGAATATTGGTCTATAGTTTTGTTTTGTTTTGTTTTCTGTTTTGACTCTGCCTGGTGTGTGTGCATCAAGACAGTATCTGTACCATAGAGGGACTTTGGTTCTAGGAAGACAGAAGAAGGGAAATGTTCTGTTCTGATCAAAGGTCCTCGATTCAGCAAATAGAGGGCTCAGAACCTCTGGGTCACATATATAGTTTTATGATATATCTTACAGGATTTAGAAGAAACTTATGATAACATAAAATCAACTTTAACATATATTTTTTAAAATTCTACTTTTTTTGGGGGGGGGGGGGTGAGGCAATTGGGGTTTAGTGACTTGCCCAGAGTCACATAGCTAGGAAGTATTATGTGTCTGAGGCTAAATTTGAACTCAGGTCCTCCTGACTCCAGGGCCGGTGGTCTATCCACTCCGCCACCTAGCTGCCCCTACTATATTTCTTTTCTTTTCTTTTCTTCATGAAAAATACTTCAAGAATGAATCTTTCTTACTGACACAGTGGAAAAATAACTCTGAAGTTCTTTTCATAATTTGAAGTTTTTTTCTATAGGTTTTAATATGTGTCCATTTCTTTTTATTTCAGACAGATGTAGAAAATATAATAATAATGACAATTCCAGGCTATATTACAATATGTTTTTATCCTGTTCAACGTCCTTAATTAAAATTTTCTTTTCTGAATTCAAGTTTAAATTTTATTTTCTAGATGTCTCGTGATGAGACGGTCTGTAAATACTGCGGAGTCAGCTATCTGATCCTTCACGAATTTAAGCTTATGGAAGAGAAGATGAAAGCGATGGAAGCAGACATGAAGTTTTATCAAGGAAGCGTTGACCGGGAGAGGTCACTCCAAGAAAAGCTGCAGTCTCTTAACCAAGGTTTGCAGCGGTCCGAGGCTGATGGTAAAGCCCAAACAGAAAGGTTGGAACCTGTTAGCAATTTTTATTTTTCATATAAACAATCATTGAGCAAGTAAAAACAAGTTCAGAGAACAACTAGGCTTTGAATTCTTTACTAGAATCATTCCGTATCAGGTAGAATTTGTGTCTGCGTTTGCATTTATTAATAAAATCACAAATTTTACATACAGACCTGGATCATAATTATAATTCAGAATCTGGGTATGTCTTTACCACCTGGATAATTTGGAACCAATCAATATATAGTCCATGTAAATAAAAGAAGTTTTTTTTAGCCATCTTGGGGTGGGAGGAGGAGTGAGATGGGGTGAAAATTTGGAACTCAAAATCTTGTGGAAGTAAATGTTGAAAACTAAAAATAAATAAATTTATTAAAATAAATAAACGAATAAATAAAGTAAAAAAAGTTTTTTTTTAAATACATGCTTTTCTTTTTTAGTCATTATTTATTGCTGACAAGATTTTTCTTTGTAAGATTAGGTAATCTAGATGTGTAAAACTGCTGAAAATAGTTTTAGGATATTATTATTTTTGGAATGTGAATTGTCCATTTTCAAAGTATTCAAAAGCATTGGAACTAGTGTGAAGTTAGATCAGCTAGGGGAATGAGTTGCTCAGGTGATCGATGGGCTCTTGCCCAGCATTTAGTCCTGCCTGCTGGTGTTTGGGGGTGGGGGAGGGCAGGCCAAAGTGGGCATTAGGTCTTCTCATTTAACTCCCAGTGTTCTCACTACAGAACTGGGTCTTATTGAAATGTTTGCTTTTTAATACTTGTCCTTTCCCTTATGAATGCAAGTTATTATTAAATGTCATTGACTTCTATTATATATTTAGACTTACAATTTAATTTTACTCAAATAAATATTTGTTTTTAAATTGAGAACTCTTCCTGTTTAGTTTTAAATCTTTTAATAATAACAAAACAATAACAGTAACTGACATTATATACTGCTTTAAGCTTTGGGAAGTGTTTCACAGCATTACTTATTTCATTTGTGCCCCCCAGCAACTCTGGGAGGTAAGTATATGTGTGTGTATATATGTACACAGACATGTATGTCTTACGGGATCTTGGGAAGCAGCCAGATGTCGTGACGAAGGGCTGGGTTTGGAGTTGGGAAGTCTATCCCAGGTCTGACCCTCTACATGTGTGACCATGAACAAGTCACTTAATTTCTCTTTCTTGCTTTCCTTGCCTGTAAAATGGGCATCAAATCAAGCAACTGCCTCATAGATCAAATGACATGAAGGGCTGTATAAGTGTCTGGAGTTATGAATAACATGTAAAGCGAGATCTTTGGGACTCACCATGTTCTGATGCTGGGCACTGAATCCGTCGCTGGCGCTTGGCTTTTCTTGGTCCACTTTGGGTTGATAGCTTCAGAGAGGACTCCTGGGAAAGACCCTTGGAGAAACTCCAAGAAATTCTCTTGTTGAAGCCAGGTCTAACATTTCCCTATGACCACCACCAATCGTGTCTGTTGTTTTATATTAATGGTTATTTTCACATTGGTGTCTGACAAGTTCTACTTTTATCACTGATGACCACAGCTAAATATTTTTTCTGGTTTAGAAAACCAAAGAATTAGACTAGCAGGTCTTTTACTAGGGGGGGTTGTAAGGCAGGATGGAATGATTTCATCAAAGTCAGATGACTGTTTCTTTGAATCACTGGAAAACAGAAAGATAAGTTTTGCAGACATTGAGTTTGTGTTAACGTCAGAGTTGCTGTTGCGTAAATTCATCTCCATGTGTCTCCTGGATCTTTTCATGTGAGCTTCCCATGAGGTCATTGTGCCTTAAACAGAGCTCACTGCTTCCCTGAGGCCTGGGCAGCGGTCAGCAGAGCTGACCAGGAGGCACTGGCCCAGGAGGTAGAGGTGCTAGTACTGGGAGTTAGACAGCAGAAGGCTGATTGGTCCCATTAATCAGGAAGATCAGACCTTAAATCCAAATACTGGGAATCAGCTGTGTCACATTCAGTCCAGAGAGGCAGAGTTCAGAGTCCATTAGACTGTAGACTTTTTCAGGACCACATTTCCTTTGTTTGGGTAGTACTCAGTGTGTGCCTTGAATGTACTTTAGAGCATCTGTCATTTCTTCAGGGTGTGGGGTTTTCCTTCTGATGCTCAGATCATTACCTTAGGCCACGGATGGCATGAGTTGCTGTGGCCAAAACCTTCATTCTCTGAGGTCCAACTTTCAGGGGGTGAACCACAATGAATATAGGCCTGTCCTTGAATGACAAATGGGCCATCCTTCTGGCTAGACTTGTACATGAAAGCTCTCCAGCTTGTTTTGCCCATGTAGAGCTTATGTTCCATTGGTAAAGCCTTTGTTAGCTTATGGTCACCTCCACACCATGACGAGGCAGTGGATGGCACCTAATCAATTGTTCTTGAATGAATGAACAACTGAAAATTTTTGTCCGAGGTCACAGGGTGAGTGACACAATGGAACCCAGCTCCCAGGTCTCTTCACTCCCAGGCCTGCCTGTTCTCCCCTGAGATTTTTTTTAAATGTAATTTTCAAATTTAATTTTTTCTTATAGCATGTTACACTTTATTACATTTTTGGGGGGTTAACATTTGTTACATGTCTGTTATATCTGAACGGTCTACCTCCCTCCCTGGCATTAGAAAAGGCCACCATTTCACACACACATACACACGTATGTATGTGTATATATACATACACATACATGTGTCTATATATATGTATATGTGCATATATATCTTTATCCTTACACATATACATAGGTAAAACCATACTATGCATACTTCTATTTACCAGTTCTTTTTCTGGAAGTGGATAGCATTTTCCTTCATAGGTCCTCTGCTGAAATTTCTTAAGAAAATGCCAGATGTTGTCCTGAATTCACTGTACTTTCAGTCAGAGATCTTCCCCTTCATTTCCATAGCCCCCTGTGATGAGAGAACATTGGTGTTTGGCCCACGACACCACAGTCCTGCAACCTCAGTCATCAAAGTCTTGGGATCCCAGTTTTAGAGCTAGAAGGGAAGGACTCAATTACAATTACATTCACAAGAAAGCCTGTTAACAATCTGTAGAAAGATCTTCAGGAGCGGGGTTGAAAGAAAAATGGTTTTCTGCTTAGCCCTAAGTTAACCAGAAATTTTAATAAACATGGGACATTAGTGGCACATACCTATTATTGAAGTTTTATTGTGTTTTGGAATTGAGTTGGAAATACTTAATTCTTTGAAAAGGCCCTTTTACTGTTGTAATTTTTATGTTGAAAATGATTTAATGTTGTTTTTCTGATAGAGGTTTGCTAAGATCTTGACTAACCAAGATTTTAAGAGAATGAATACTTTGTGTCAGTTATTATTATTAGGAATAATAATTCACTTTGCCATAGAAATCTTTCGAAATGTATCAGTCCATTTTCCTGTCTAGACCTTGAGCAGTTGTGTGATACAGACAGCTGGGTGGCCTAATGGTTAGAGAGCTAGATCTTGAGTCAGGAAGACCTGGCGTCAGGTTCTGCCTCAGATGTCTACTAGCTGTGAGACCTGGAGAAGTCGCTTCACCTCTGTCTGCCTCAGTTTACTCATCTATAAAAGGGCAGTGATAATAGGATTGTTGTGAGCATTGGATGAGGTCACTTGGGGAGCTCTTCACCAAACCCGGAGAGTTGTTGTTGTAGAGGGCTGAAGCCTTGCCTCTGACAGGAGCTGCTTGACCTCGGTTCAGCCCAGTTCTCGATGGTTTAGACAGTTCTCCACAGCCACAATTGATACAGAACTCACTGATCTATTTGCACTGGGGGCTAGGTAGGAGGAGTACTTTCCACAGTGGAATTCTCACATGTGTGGAAATAACAGGTTTCTGCCACTTACTTTCAAAAATGCGCTCTGTAGATTCCATCCTGGAGCAGAGGGAACAGTGCAGGGCCGGGGTTGTGTGAGTATGGGAAATCGCCCAACTCCCATTCGATTCAAAATTCATTCACCCCCTATTAGGGCACCTGGCTCAGCCTTGGGAATGTAAAAATAAAGAAAGGAACAGAGCCTCTGCCTTCACGGAGCTTACATTAAAATTGGGGCTTACCCAGAGAAGTGTTTACAAGGCAAATTTGTCAAAGTTTCCTTACCTGTAAAATGGGGATGATAGTAACGTCCCAATCTAAAGCACTGTGAATATATGCTGTTGTTATCTTTATTAGCGAAGGAGCTTCATTTTGGACGTGAATGATTATTGTGTAGTATTGTAACTATAGGAGTTTTAAGACATTGGAAGGGACCTTAGAGATCACCTATCCCAACCTCCCCATTTTACAGATGAGGAAACTGAGGCTCAGAGAGTTTAAGTGACTTTTCCCCATCTCCCCAGTTTAAGTTGCCTCTCAAAAATCTGTAATTCTCTAAGATGTACGACTGCCTCAAAGCCCAACCCATCTTTTGTATTTGGAGTGGGGAGGGTAGAAAGGCAACAATAACAAAATAAGGGGATGGCAGCCGGCTGATAGCCTAGGACCAGACAGGGCTGTGTCAGGCTGTCAGGAACCCCTCCATGTTGGCTACATTGGAGGAAATTGGCTTAACACCCCAGCCAGAGTGATGGAACTGCTTCTTTGAATCCAAGAAACAGACAGGGCCGAGTATGCTTGTAGGCTGGTCCTATTTGGAACTGTCGGACAGTGGGGCTCCCGATTCTCCTTTCATTCTGGTACCCCAAGAAGGCAAGATGTGCAGGAGCAAATTGGAAGTGTTAATCCCTACCCCAGCTGCAGGAAATGCTTTAGTGAAGATGCTGTTGATTACTTCAGCAGGCAAACCATGAGTGCCCATGAAATGGAAGAAGGCCTTAATGATGTACCAACATTACACTATAACAAAATTAAAAACAGTTAGAGGCAAGGATTTCACAACACTTTGTGTGTCAATGATAGTGTTAGCTACAACACATTGCATGAAGATCAGGACAAGGCAATCATAAATAATTTCTTTCCTAAGCCTGGATGGAATGAAATGAGTG